GGTGATCCTGCTCTGGCAGGGTTGTTGGACTCAGTGAGCTTTTGAGGTCTATTTCAAATCTTAATATTCTGTGATTCTGTGAAACGGGAATGTAGAAGGAAGCCCTGTGGGAGGGAAAAGTGGGTCACAAGGTGCCATAGTGATTTTGATAATGATCTGCACTTTTCTTTCATAGACCTGTGCCATACAACACAGGGACAGCAGCGCCAAACAGCACCCAGCTGAGGTGTGCTGGGTCCTTGCTCCCTCCATTTCCATGCCCATGGAGGCTGGGTGTTGGTCCTGCACAGCTTGTGATGGTCTGCCTTGATCTCTCCTTCCAGGAGCAGGCACTGATGCCAACGTCTCCTTGATCCTGTTTGGGGAGTACGGGGACAGCGGGACGCTTGCTCTGAAGGAGTCCAACAAGTCCAACAAGTTCGAGAGGAACCAGATGGATGAATTCAGCTTCTCGGAGATGCTGAGCCTGGGAGATCTCTGCAAAGTGCGGATCTGGCACGACAACAAAGGTCAGGGAAGGTCTCAGGGGATGGGAGAGGTCGGGACAACATTTTCCCTCCAAAAAAGGCAGTCCCCTTGTCTAAACATGCCCTATCCTCACGGAAGACTCTATGTTGGTGTAGTATCTGCTCTAATAGGTCCGCAGCTTATAGCCACCACTGCAGCACAGATAATGACATCCCTTCCTAAGCAAAGCCACCCAGCTACTTATCCCAACACACCAGCTCCATAAATGCAATATGTTTTTCACAGGCTGGTGGGGCACTTTCCTAGTAATTTAATGCTATCAGCCTGACACCGACACATGGGGTAATGCAGCCTAGCATAGCACAGCGAGCTTTAGGAGATGGAAATAAAGATCTGTGTCTGTCTTTATTAATATCACTACCTCAGACAGGGTGTGTGCAGTGCCCTGCTGAGAGAGATTTTGACATCTCCCTGCTGCTGGACACCCTAACAGGTTTCACAAAGAGCAGAGCAGCACTCTGTACCACTATCACAGTCATTTGTGATTTTAGTCAGGTACCAACCAGATTCTTGCAATAGCTGTGTCACTCGCACTGCTGTGATGACATCTCATCCCATCTCGTCTTCATCTAAAAGAGATGATCTTGCATTAAAAATGGCTTGCTCATTAATGACAGCCCAAGAGTGAAGTTTGATGGCTCCCATACACCCACCTGGGCCACTATTAACGAGGTGATTAACAAGGTGATTAACAAGGCAGTTTAGGCAGCAGCATTCATCGAAGCTCTGGGAGGAATGGCAGCAGGACTTGCCAGTCATTACCTGGTTGTACTGAGGTTTATGACTGGACTGGGGTTATATATCAGTATAGACACATCCTGGCCATCATTTCCTTGGCTTCTCCAAGTTGTGGCAGATGGGGAAGGCTGCATCTGATGCAGTATTAATAAAAAATGCTACCTCTGGATCACACTTTCCTACTGGAAGTTTGCCTCATTGTTATTATTAAAGGAAAAAAAAAAGAACTCTTATAATCTTTTTTCATCCTCTATCTGCTTGTGAAATATGGGAAATATGACCATCCACCTAACCTGGCTTCATGACTCTTGATTATGAGCCAGTCATATTTATCACTCCCATAACCCAGGACAATTTAGTTATTCAGGCTCTGTAACATCACATTATATAGCTGGCACTTAATGCAGTAAGAGAGCTGCTTTTACCTGATCTTAGTTGCCAAAACACTTATTCCTTTAATCTGCAGTTAAGATGCAGAAATGGAAAAGGCTATCAAAATATCCACTAGAGTTTTAGCTCAGCAAACAGGCATCTGCAGTTGCAAGGGTGGTTTGGATGTCCTTTGGAGAGCACCAAGAAATCAATGGGGACTTGCAGGTTCATTTTCAAATATATTACCAGCTAGAATGTCTACAAAGAGAGAATTTTCCTCAGGAGGTGTTGTAGCTCCCTGGTGATCAGTTGTGCTAACAGCACATCCTGTTAATCCAGGCAGGTTTGTGGCCTTTTTCTACTTGTACAGGTGATCACGGTTCATCTTCTCCACGCCACTGATGATTATAGACTCACAGCGTGGTTTGTGTTGGAAGGGACCTTGAAGCTCATCCAGTCAAATCCCCTGCCATGGACAGGGACATCTCTTTATAAAGAATAGTTAATAGGGCTTTCACCAGACCTAGGGTTAAGCCTTGGACAGAAAACATGCTCAGGTTATGTTCAACAAAAAATGTACTTGCTTTTCCCCCTAGAAAGGAGGACAACTGTAGTTTAAATCATAACATATGCTGTGTTCATTGTTCATGCATTAGTCATGTGAAAAGCATATCCTATCTGAAACTTCACACAATGCAGCATGACAGTTTTTTGGGTGGGTGGAGTATTTATTACTGCTGGGATCCCAGGCTGTAGCTATCCTTTGCATATGTGCCTGCTCTCCCTATATAATTTATATAAATTGGCTGTGCCACTGGTTTGAAATTCCTGGCTCTGTTTTTTTGGAAAGGAGTAGTGGGGTCAGAGGGTGATGGGTCGTGTATGATTTTTCTCAGACGCCTGGGGGAATTTGGATATTTAACAAAAAATGTGCTTGTATTTGCCGTTACTTTGAGGCATCAGATGTTGATCATTCTTTCCTTAGTCGTTTTCTTGTTTTCTTTTTTGGACTACATGGTTCTTTGCCATGGTCTGTGGAAGACTCAGCCTCACGCTAACCTACCCCATTGCTCATCAAATTCTGAATACTTGGAACATGGGTGATGTTCTTTTCCTAATTTTCTTAATAGTCATCCTTAATGGCAGAATCAGCCTGTTTTAACTCACATTAGATGACTTCAGCACCTGTGGGCTGGTTAAGGGAACTACTAAGCATCACAAGGATGTTTTTTCTTTCAAACATGACCTGGTCCCAGCAAAAAGTCATAAAATCACAGAATCATTTGGTTGGAAAAGACTTTTAAGATTATCGAGTCCAACCATAACCTGTCCACCACTAAACCATGTCCCTAAGCACCTCATCTACCCATCTTTAAATACTTCCAGGAATGGTGACTCCACCACTTCTGTGGGCAGCCCCTTCCAATGCCTGATAACCCCTTCAGTGAAGAAATTTTTCTTAATATTAAATCTAAACCTCCCCTGGTGCAACTTGAGGCCATTTCCTCTTGTCCTATCTCTTGTTACTTGGAAGAAGACATCGACTCACCCCTCGCTACCCCCTCTTTTCAGGGAGTTGTAGAGGGTAATAAGTTCTCCCCTCAACTCCAGTTCCCTCAGCCACTCCTCACAGGACTTGTGATCCAGTCAACCAACCTGTCCCCATTTCAGGTTAAAATACATTTAAACAGCTTGGCCAAGGTGGCTACTTTGCCATGAAGTTCAGCTCAACACCAATCCCTATCAGCCAAGTTTTGCTGCAGTGGCTTTGCTCCTGGTTCATATCCCACTTTTCTTTATCTTTTCACTGACATTTGACTGCAATGGGGTGTTCAGAGATGAAGAGACAGCAACTGCAATGGCAAAGACTGTCAGAAGGTCTTTAAATGGCAAACACCACCTTTGCCTCCTCTGAAAAAGCCATGTCAGTTTTAGGTCCCACTTTAATGCTTTTAAATGCCATTTTCCCTGAGAAAAAACCTGCCGAGTGATGTCTCCATATGAGATATAAAGTAGGAATGAAGCCCCCATCTAAATCCTCTGACTTCAGTAAAACTGATTAGGGAAGAAGTCGGCTCTCATTTGAAAACAGGCAGTTTAGAGACGTCACAACTGCAATTTCAAGGAACTCATTCCTGATTTTTTAGATATTTCGAGGCCACCAGCAAGAGTCTGGTAACAACGAATTGCTGTGAATGAAATGTAGTTTTAAGGTTTGCTCCATGTTCTTTTATCTTGCCGTTGTTTACTTGAAGATACTGATGTTCAATCTAATATATTTAGACTCCCTGAGCAAATTTAATCGTTTCCAGACTCCTCATCTTCTGATCTCAGATAGGCACTATGTATTTTCTCATATCTCAGTTCATTTACTTCTACATTTATGCAAGATCAGTATCTGTAGGTCTGTAGAAATGCTGGCTTTCTAAATATAGGCCTCAATTTTTTCTCTGCTTTAAGGAATAAATCACCATTCTGGAAGAATGGCTTAAAGTTTCTCAGTATCTCAGTAATGGAATTATTTACCTAGAAAAAGTTTTTCCCCCCCTCCTTTCTTTTATTTGCCTTTTTCTCCTTGCAGCAAGGAGATATGGGAAATCTGGATTTAGCTCCCTCATCTGCCTGAGTAGATTTGAACCCAGATGATAAGCAGTCTTTCTAAAGTCATTAATTTCAGATTCTTGATTATCGCAGTTGCCATCAGCCAAGGGGAGCCAGAAAGAGTCTAATTATGGATCAACCTGACTCTGTGTTATTACAGGAACGACAGGAGTAAATAACAAGGTTATTCAGCCCAACTTCTTTCCCTCAACAGGGCCCTTCTCTCAATCATGCCAACTGCTATGACATTGTCTAACTGAGCTTTAAATAGCCCATCTGCCCCAGTGACTCCTTTTGGGTGGCTCTTCCAGCAGAGATATTATCATGTGCTCCTTCCCTGAGCTGGACTTAACTCAAAAACATTAATATATCCTTGTTTTTTCCTTTTCTTTCTCAGAAGAAACTACCTTTTAAGAAGTGGTATCTTGAATCAGATCTTAAAGTGCCTAGGCCTTGAATTAGCAGCTTTTCCAGAGTTATGTTTCTGCAATTCACAGACAAGATTCCAAGTCTTTTGGGTAATTGTAGGCCATAAATTATTAAAAGAAACCTAAAGACCTGTCTTTTTAGTCCTTTGTAGGGATTTGCTCAGCTCTGGTACTTGAGAAGGGCTTTTCTACACCCTCTTCTCTGTGCTTGACTGTTGCCATGGGGCAGATTTGTTGAATAGTTCCAGCTTTAAATAAAAAGTGAGAGGAAGAGAAGTGGATGTGTGAAACTGCCCAAGGAGCGAAGAGTCCATTAAAAGTAGAAAAAAAAAAATAGATGTAACCAAACAAAACAGCAAACCTGAAGAGAGGGCAAAGACTTCAGTGTTGACCTTGTGCAGTCCTTTCTTCCCAATCTGTAACGGCAGAACCCTTTGCTACAGAGCAGAAAGAGTCCAAAAGGCCAAATGTAGCTGTAGAATTATTAATTCTGTAAAAACTTCTCCTTTCTACAGGCCTCCTTTGCTCTGCTTTGGACAAATTACCCTGTACCCTTGATAAATGCTTTTGGATCAAGTATGCCTCAATAAGACACAAAATATGCTTCAATCACAAGAATATATTCTGAGAAACTGTTGTATTTTCACTCTGAGTTGTGAAGTGGTTTTCCACAGGAGTAGTTTTTCTGTAAGATGTGGGGTTTTGATGGGGTTTTTTGGCTGGTTTTTTGGGGTTCTTTTTTTGGTCTGAGAGTAATTTATGGGTGGTTTTGCCCCAAGTCAAATCCTGGACTGAACAAGTAGCACAGACAACACAGGATGGGGGCAGTGAACCTATTTTCT